TTCATCAAAAATATCTTAAAGGGGTCATTAAAGCATGTCAACATATTCTGTTACACCAAATACACAAAATAATGATCTTTAAAAAGGCATCATATGACCCCTTTAATTTGTGTTCTGAAGATGAACGAAGGTGTTAGGGGTTTGGAACGACATGAGGGTGAGCAATTAGTGACAGAATTTTCATTTTTGGGTGAACTATCCCTTTAAATGATATATTATAATACATTTGCCATTTTTTTAATCATATGTTTTTAGCACTATTTATCACTGTTGCACATACTTACGGTTAAGGAGTTTGTTCATCGGGATCCACTGATATTAAAATGAAAATGCTGGTTGATATGAAACTTCAAATATTATAAACTTCAAATATAAATTCCATTAAAAATAATCTATAATAAAATTCTATACTATTTTGTGTGTATATATATATATATTTGTTTTATTTTATTTTATTTATTTATTTATTTTATTTGTTGTCCATTAGGATTTTCATTAAAAAATAAATTAATAAATTACAAATGACCTGTATTAAATTTCTATACAGTTTTGTTTGAATAACATAATTATATTTTTTTTATTCTAAAATATGTATAAATAAAAAAAACTAAATCATTTTCAAAGTAGATTTAGTTATCATGACATTCAAATGTACAGTATTCATTTCTGTATTCATTTTGATATTTGCTCAAATTTACATTTATCAGTGTTATTAAATTATTAGTGTCTTCATACTTTAACTTTAAGAGAGTGTTCCTTAAGAACTACTGAACCCTCGCTGCCAGCTAATCATCAGCGTCCAGTAACATGCACACACCTAACAAACATACATTGACATCCACAGCATCGTCCATCACCAATCCAGACAGTCTAATCTTACACTGCTGGCACTCCTGGAGTACAGTGTTTAGAGCAGGATATGATACAGCTGTTAAACAGTCGGTGAAACTGTTATCACAGGAGTCTGCTGAGATTGGTGGAGACTCGCACAGTGTGAGCAGCACACGGAGACTGTGATAATGTCAGGTCCTGATTTCTATTAGTCTTTATTTAAACCATCTGGATGCTGTAACACAGTACAACACTAAATAATGGAATCCACAGCAATATAAGATATCCACTGTGAGACTGCACTTGTCTTTGTTGATAAAAGCAATGCTCTATATTACTTTTGTTTAATAAATTGTCAGTAAATGGACATCATCTTCACATATCTATATATATAACATAATGGACATATCTGCACGGGCACTTTACCAACTCTAATAATGTAAGTGATACACTATTATTCAAATATCATGTTTTTGTAAGAAGTCTCTTATGCTCACCAAGGCTGCATTTATTTGATCAAGTACAGTAAAAACAGTAATACTGTAATATATATTTAATATTCAAAATGCCTGTTTTCTATTCTAAATATAATTTTTAATGTAATTTATTCCTGATGGCAACGCTGATTTTTCAGCAGGCATAACTCTAGTTTTCAGTGACGCATAACCCTGCAAGAATGATTTCTTATTATTATCAATGTTGAATACAATTGTGCTGTTTAATATTTTTTTTGTAAAAATTGTGAGACATTTTTCAGGATAATTTAATGAATAGAAAGTTCAAAAGAACAGCATTTATTTGAAACAGAAATTTTGTAGCAATTATATAAATACATAAACAATAAATTACCTATATTAAAATTATATACTGTTTTGTGTAAATACAAAATATTTTAATAAAAAATATAATGTAATTATTAATGCAATTAATTATTATTAATGCAATTTAAAAGTCACTTTTGATTTTAATGCATACTTGCTGAGTAAAAGTATTCATTTCAGTTTAACAAAAAAGAAAAAAAAAAAAAAAAAGCATACTACTAACACCTACGGTAGTGTATGGCAAAGAGATAAAGGCAATCTATATTTCAAGTCTTTTGAAGCTATGGAATTGTAAAGAACAAACCGAAGTTTGTGTTGTATTTATTAGTATTCTTCTCTGTAATATATATTTAATATTAAAAATGCCTGTTTTCTATTCTAAATATAATTTTTAATGTAATTTATTCCTGATGGCAACGCTGATTTTTCAGCAGGCACAACTCTAGTTTTCAGTGACGCATAACCCTGCAAGAATGATTTCTTATTATTATCAATGTTGAATACAATTGTGCTGTTTAATATTTTTTTTGTAAAAATTGTGATACATTTTTCAGGATAATTTAATGAATAGAAAGTTCAAAAGAACAGCATTTATTTGAAACAGAAATTTTGTAGCAATTATATAAATACATAAACAATAAATTACCTATATTAAAATTATATACTGTTTTGTGTAAATACAAAATATTTTAATAAAAAATATAATGTAATTATTAATGCAATTAATTATTATTAATGCAATTTAAAAGTCACTTTTGATTTTAATGCATACTTGCTGAGTAAAAGTATTCATTTCAGTTTAACAAAAAAGAAAAAAAAAAAAAAAAAGCATACTACTAACACCTACGGTAGTGTATGGCAAAGAGATAAAGGCAATCTATATTTCAAGTCTTTTGAAGCTATGGAATTGTAAAGAACAAACCGAAGTTTGTGTTGTATTTATTAGTATTCTTCTCGGTTAGAGCTTTATCATTTCAATCTCCATTCTGCATATTCAACCTAGCGCATGAAATATAAAATTTTAGTCTGTAGTTGTTTTTTTTTTTTGGTGTTTTCTGTCCTTTTTTGAGCTTGAAAGACATGGTCCCTAAATATTCCTTACAAATATTCTTCATAACAATAACGACAGGATTGTACATTTTGGGTTGACTGTTCCTTTAAGGCTCAGCAATGGCAAGCAGGTCATAGTAAGCCATCACCATTGTGCCCTTGAAAGGCATTTAACCTCAGGATTCTCCAGGGGGAATATCGCTGTAATACATGTTTGATGCCATTATATGGTGACATTGCCATTAAATTCCAGAAACAATTTACATGGGCCATAATCGATGGCAATTCTGTTCAATCAGATACTGTAGTTTGGACATTCTGAGTCTGTATAATACAAGCAGATCACAGGCAACCACAGGGGACTTTCTTTCAGTCTCTCACACTTTCATTCTCACACATGGTCTATTTTTCTGTCCATCTGCCCATGCTCACTGCTCTGTTTCATCTCCTTTAAATAAAAGCGGTTCCTTAAAGACCCTTAAAGTGATCCTGAGAGATGACTTACTGTACCAATAAGTACAGTTGTGTAACAGTTCTCTTTTTGAGCTTTCACATCACATTTAATTTTAACCTTCTGCTCCAACATTTTTTACTCCTTCCTTAAGGCATATGTAACATCAAGTATTAAGGAAATATTACATTTTGATAGATTGATATTATCAATGCAATCATAAATGCAACAGTTATAAATATAAGCTTAATCATCTTTGTGAGTCGCTCAATAAATTACTGCAATAAAGCACAGTTCATCATGTAAAAAGATGAAATTTACGTTTCTTAGCAGACCTTTTTTTACCACTTACAAAGTGTGTGTCATTGCAGTATGTAAGGAGAATTAGCATGCAAAATATGAAAGACTTGCACTGGTTCAACATATGAAAACAGGTGTAACATTTAAGCAGCTGATAGCTGGTGGTTTACATAACTTGCCACTAGTACAGGAAATACAGATATCCTCATAATGGGCGTCCCAACACACGACATGAGGGGAGATACAAATCCTCACTGCGTAAACTAGGACATCTAATGCATAACTGACAACACCTGTTCCCCCGAGAGCGATTTATTTCATTCACTGGCCTTCTTACAGTCACAGATGAAAGATATTCAGGCTATGCATGAGTGCTAACAGCCACACATTTTGGATACCCACCACAAATCTAACACAAAACAAAGCATTCACAACCAACTAGAAGATAATAACAGCTTGTGACAGAAGCAGCCAAGCTTTGGGCAAGAGCTATATTACAGTCTCGACCTCCCTGATCACACACGGCTCCATTTTAGCGCCAACACACGCTCTACAAACAGTGACAGCTGGTTTGGGTTTTTACTCAGGAATCCGGGAACCCAAAAACCCATAAACACACCTACTGTGAAGACATACCACTACTGAACAGGTGCTAAATTGCTTTTCATGAAGCAATTAATGTCACTTCAGTTGCATAATTTTTTTAAATATAATATCTAATAATTCATCACAAATGGCTCTGGCAAGAATACATGTGCTACTTCTTGTGATAATAATAATAATAATAATGTGATTTTCAAATATAAATATGTATATACATTTGTATATAAATAACTGAATATATACTGTATATATAATCAATATATTTAAAATAATATATCCATTACATATGTATACACACACAAATGATATAAAAAATTTAAATATGAATAACAAAAATAAAATGTGTGTGATTATATGTATGCATGTATGTAAAAAATGTAATTGTTTGTTATTATAGTGTATATATTTCTATATTTTGTTATTATAGTGTATATATATCTATCTACACAATATATTAAAATATATACACATATATATGATATATAAAAGTAAATATAAAATTATAAATATAACATTTAAAAA